TTTCCGATCGAGCTTTTCTTTAAATAGCAGCATTAACCAAAAGTTAGCAAAAAATTGTATGGCTACACTGTGTTACCACTGTGTTGCCATGGAAGTTATTTTTAGAATAATATTTCAAATACCATATAATTAAAAGCCATTTTTGTTATTGTGTTTCTTGTGGCTTTGATTTAGTTTGATCATTTAACACCTATTATTGGTGAATATTGAGCGTTTTTATCACGTATTAAGCACCTATTAAGAACTCCTCTCTGCAACCACTTAAACTTCTTTGCCACGCCTGGTCACCGATATCGATGAAACTACCCATTATTACATTGTTTCTATGTTTCTCGGTTGCAATGGTAATAGCCAGAAAAGTTTGATTAATTACATGTTGTTCCCATTCGAGAAAAGAAAAGTTTGAAAAAATTAAATTTTCAGTTTCTTTAAATCCTTATTTAGCCTTTATAAAGACTACGAAAAACAAACAAACCATTCTTACAAAAATATGACACCTTGTGGCCACTTACGCTGTAAATAAACTATTAAGAATATATTTCTAAGTACTTGGTAACCATGGGTATATTTGTAATATATATTAAATGCTAAAAAATGCTTTAAAATGCTCATTATTCATTATTGATAGGTTTTACAAGATCACACTCAATCAACAACTCAAGAAAAAAAAAAAAACAATTAAAATATTTCATCTGAAGTAATTAGGTATTGGTAATATTAATTTTACGAATAACTTTCATGGCTGCCATGGTAACACGTGTAGCCATACAGAATTTGTTGCTAAATTTTGGTAAATGCTATTATCTTCTGGAAAACATTGAAATTCAGAACTAGATTGTTGGGACTTTGTATCACAGATAATATAAGAAACATTGGGATTAATTGCTACTTTGCAGTGTAACCATGCAAACAAAGTACCAGTGGTTTGAAGTGATATTTGTTTTATTCTTTAGGAAATTAGTTACCTGTTTATCATGAACCAAATTATTTGAAACAACTTGAATAGTACTTATCTGATTGGACTAAAGTCATAATATTATATTGATTAAGTTTGATGAAGAAAATAACACTGTTGCTATGGTTACCAAGAAGGGAATATGTTCCATTTTGTAAAGTTTTTAGCAATATCAAACCCTATGTGGCAGCTTCTTGCATCCAGTTAGAGTTTGTGTGGTATCCAATATTGCAAGTCGGGCTAGTTGTTTATAAATGTCAATCATGAAAGTTTTGGGAATCTACAAACAAGGACAAAAAAAGTCAATTTAAAAAAATCAAGTAACTTAATCATGGCAATTTAAAAATTCGCTGGCACTACAATCAACGTGCAGAAAATGCATTTGATACAAACTAGTTGTGAATTTTAATGAATGAAATTATAACACGATTTTATTGATTTGTTTTTTTTTTTTTTTCAAATTTGAAAAAAAAATATATTGATTGCTTTTCCGACAACATTATTTATGTTACAACGTCATATTAGTAGGCAACAAGATATGGCTTTTTACACCACCTCTGACATTTCGTTGAAATCCTTGCTTAAGATTGGTTGACATCTGTCACTCGAGGGGAGTATAATACTCATACAAGTTCACTAAAGTCTTGAAAATCATTATACGTAAATTATAAGTTATCGGATGATGTCAAAGAATATATAAGTACATTTTTATTATCATAACTGGTAAGGTCACACTTATATTTGACTTTTTCACGTGCTTCCAAGTCTGCTATCATCCTCATACACAAAAATTAGTAGCTATGTTACTTGTAGATATGTACATTTACCTTTTTCCAGACAGCTACAAAAATTACCTTAGCTTAAATATTAGATTAATCTTCGTGATTATAATCTGGTGAGTTAAAATTTGTTGTATTTTTATATCTTCTTTATCTATTTTTTTTTTTTTCTTTTCAATTAAATTTCACATTTTTTGTTTTTTTGTTTTTTTTTTTTTTTAGTCCTTTTTTAGTGTAATATGTGTATGATGTTTATGATTATCTTTCCAAAAATAAAAGGCAATCATTTTATTTGCCTTTAATTATATCAATTATTTTAAAAATGTTTTTAGGTTTTGTAGAAATAAGATTTATAAGGTATAGAATATTCAAGAGGAAAGAATGAATAAAATGTCAATAGAATTTTCCATCCCGAACTCAGAAATCCATGATAAAGAACAGGATAACAAAAACATTTTTGTGTCAATTAATTATACCCTTTCATTATGATTTATTGCATTAGTTTGAAGTTAGGAATTCTGAGTGTAATCAGTGTCAATTATCTCCTATATTTGTACTGGTTTAATTATAAAAAATCAACTGCTATATATTATCTATAGTATACTCAGTTTACTCTTTAAGATGATCAATACAAGATATGAAAAAGAGATTGAAAATGTTCATGCAAGTTGACGTACGAAAGGAACATTTTTTTGTATTTGTTTTTCCTTATTTAATAAAACTCTAGTTTCTTAATATGCTAAAAACAAATACGAGAAGATAAGCACTTTAATCTACACATGGAAATATGTTAGTCTCGATTAAATTGCTTCGCTTCACCACGCCTTACCTGAGTTTGGAGTCATGCGTAGGAACCTTCGTTCTGTATACGTTCTAGTTGAAGCTTTTAATTGTTTTAATCACAAATAGCTACAGTACGCCTATTCAGGGTATGCCTTGTTTTTAGGGTGACGGAAAATATGTTCAAGATTTTCTCTGACGAGATATTAGGTGAGTCCTAACATTTATACAAACGTCATGATCAGGGATATTTTCCTCAAATAAGAGTTGTTTTCCTTTCCTTGCCGTGTCTCTTTGTGAACACCGATGAAAAAACGTTTATACCAATTTTAAATCTATCAGCTAAACGAAAAATAAGACTTTTCCCAGTTGGTTGTATATGAATCTTATACGGTACCAGATGCGCATTTCGACAAATTATGTCTCTTCAATGATGCTCATGCCGAAACGTTGGAAATCTGAAATATTTAAATAAAAAAAACTGAGAAGAGCAGAGAAAAGGGGTGCCAAAGACTGGGGCCAAATATGTGGAAGGTTCAGAGTTATGCATAAGGAGGACCATGCCGATGGAAAAAACTCCATTGTCCACAAACTTTATGGACAATTTCATGCCACTGATTTAAATTCCCTATAAATTTATTTTTCTATCTACAGGGGTCGCTAAAATTCCTTAGTATAGGTTTCTTTAAGTGTCCCTTGACTTTCTTAAAAAGTGTTTCCTGACAATATTCATTTTTTGTAACAAACTCGACATGAAAACGGTTGTCTTTTCCTCCCTTGTGTTATACTGAAAGATACAACATGAAATAAATAGTTTCAGCATAAAAAAAAAATTACCGAAACTTCATGTCTTTTACATTTACATCGATCCTGCTCCATGAGTTTAGTGTATACAGTTTATTAACTTATCTTTTCTAAGTGGTCGAGGAGACCTAGAAGTGAAAGTCAATGGTCTTTCGGACGGGACCTTAAAAACCGAGGTTCCGTGTCACCGAGGTGATAGCACGATAAAGAATCCTCAATGCTCAAAGACCCTGAGTTTCGAGGATAAGTCTAAAATTAAAGCCATTTACCGGTACATATAAATGGTGACGTCTGCATATGAGTAAAGAATTCTCGAATGGGCAGTAAAACAACACACAATCAATCAATCAGTCAAGTATATAAGTTTTACTTTGATTAGTTATGTTACGTTTCAGTTAACGTATTTTGCACTTGTATTTTAAAGAGAGCATTTTTATTAAGTGTTATCAAACGCATGCTTCTACATATGATTTACATCTTCCGATTTGGAAGAGTATCAAATCCGCAGAAGTAAAAATACGCTGATTTATAATCATCTTATAACTCATCGACGATAAGGAAAAGACAAGCAAGTTGTGCAACACCGGATGTTTTTTCAAGCATATTTATCCGCCTATTGAAGCACTATATTGAAGGATAGCAAGTTCACAATAGAGAAGTTTACAGAAAAAGATGACATAACTCATGAGGAAATGATTCATTGTAATAGCAAGGTTAAACTGAGACCGCAGAACATTGCCTGGCAAGATTAGAAATATACAGCTTACAAATAAGTTCCATCCATTAGAGAAAAATCAATGATTTCGTGCATGCAAGGGTTGATCTTTGGAGATTATTTGCCGGAAGTTATTACATAATGAAATGTAAAGACAACAAATATTTATCATGCTCAAAAGTCCAACCACACAATGCATATTGTGAGTAGAACCAACAAATATCTCCGAAACAGAGGTTAGATCGGTGTCCTGGAAGAGAAAGCATCTTCTGTCTACCGGTCACTACTGCCGTGAGCTACTCGTCATGATCGGGTAAACGGAAAAATCCGTAGACAACTCCACATTTACTTAATGGAGACGTCAGTTCAAATCGGATTGAAATTTTATATGCAAAATGATTTTGAACCAATCTTAAGAAGTTTTGGTTTGATTTAATAGATATCTTACAAAGTGTAATATAATCACGTGCACTGCATTTAATACGTTTCATTTGTGTGCTTGAGAGTCGCAAAATGGAATTTATTTCGCTTTGACACCTGTAATTTTAATCCTGATTCCACAAACACGCGCACAGCTCTATCCCACAATTACTGATGCTAGATTTTCAATACAATGATTTCACGGATGTTGTAATATATAATAGTCCAGCGTCAAAGATTTTGACTACAAGATATGCAAATGACGTAAACGATCTATTTCTTATCTTGTTAGCTATGATCCGGTTTTCAAGGAAATTTAGTGCATTGGGGTTCCTACTAAAACAGTGATTATATTCTTCTATCTGATAAGTGGAGAACAGTACATTTTTTTAACTTTACAAATACAATCTGATCCTTGTTTTAGTAGAATTAAAAGGCTTCATAAAATTTTCTAAATTCATATCTATATGTGCACAGATTGCTGTAGAATTTGAAAATTACATTTACTGTATGTACACTTCATGGATTAGAATTTGTCTTTATCGACATGGATGGAAGTATCAAACTTCTGTATTGTCTTGTTGGATTAATATTAAGAGAAAAAATAATATCTGCTTATGGTAAGTTCATTTCCTTTCACTTAGCTAATTTTCGTCTTGGAGTTTGATTTTTTTCGTTATTCTTTTTTCGTTATCATTTTTTTTTCAGCTGAAACCTAAAAACGTAGTATTAGTTGTATATTTCAACACGAGTTCTTTCACACAGTCTTAAATTTCTGTAAAGCACAATGGACCTTTAGTATTTACAATTAAGTATTCACCATTAGAAGTAGTTCACTTTGGCAGAAATAAAATTCAAATAAATTTGATTGAATATTTTGCAAAGAATAGCTTATTTTGAAGAAAAACAGTTTTCTCATTTAAATTAAATTAAGGCAAAGGCAAATGTCTGGATCGTAAACTTGCACTTGCACAAGTTACTTGGAATTATTTGTGTAAGCATAAACATCTGAATTTTAATTTCGATATCAATAATGACAATAACATCTTGCAATTTCACATTTCACGGCAAACTCCTGACTAAAAACATGAAAGGTCTTGAGATGTGTTTGTTCCTATAATTAGTGGTTCTTGTACAGAGAGCACAAGGAATTTCCTCGTAGTCCTAAATTGAAATACAGCCTCTAAAATACTTTTTTAAAATCTGCATGTGATTTATTGATTCAATTTCTTTTCATGGATGAAAATTGAAATGGTCGTTCTGAATCATATTCAACATGTTTCTCGCCAAAAAATGAAAAAAAAGAATGCAAAGAATGACAGTCTGTTTATGTTCATTTGTGCTTTTTAGGGGTGGGGGTGTTCACGTTTGTTTGTTTGTATGTTGTTTAACGTCCCTCTCGAGAATTTTTCACTCATATGGAGACGCCACCACTTGCCTGTGGAGAGCTGCAATTTTTCTGTCCTATACTGGGCACTTACGGCCATTGAGCAGTGAGGGATCTTTTTCGTGCCAGCACCCACTGCTACACAGGACCTCTGTTTATACGGTCTCATCCGAAGGACCGGTCACCACGTCCCGCAGTGGGAATTCGAACCTGCGAGGTAAGGATCAACTCCTTACTTCGCGACTCTAGAGCAGACACTCCAACCACTGCGCCAAGCGGGCGACGGGGTGTTCAGGTAAAATAAAACATAATTCAGGTAAAATAAACATAATTCTATTTCATGGCACAACAGAGACAGATATACATGTTCATCTGATTTAGCGATGTAAATGATTTTCATTTTTTGTAAGTTTGATCCTTCGCCTTAAATGTAATTATTCTTTAGAGAAAAAAAAAAAAAAAAGAAAAGAAAAACCCTAAACCCGAATAATGCTCAATTATAATATTCTAAATATATTATATTTTTCTTTATTTTTTCTGCAATTTTTATTTTTTAAGTGCCTATCATATTGAAGTGTTGTAAAATAATAATATGATAAAGAACATCAATCTAGTTTTTATTACGTCTCTCAAAACTTACTCTGACTCACAACCCCTACAATACTGTATGTGTATAGATTCAAGATATAGGTTTTACCTCTCAGAAAAACACTGCAAGAATTCAATTAAATTGTCTACATATGAGGACTAAAATTCGCATCCTAATTTTATGATACCCCGTTCCTATCTGCCTTACCTTTTCATTGATATAATTTACATAATACATAATAATCTTTTGCACCCAGTTACAGATTTTTATTTTTCAAATAAAGTAAAACAGTCCATCATGCAAGGACAATCATTAAAATTTCTTCAAAATACTAAGGTCAATGTAAATAATATTTGCATTACGTCGTGTTTTTAATTCAGAAACTTATCTGCTCTATGTAAGTTGTATTTCTTTTTTGAAATGAATTATTTTCCAGTATACATGTACTCTAAATGGAAAAAGTTATATTGATTAAAATAAATCATTGTACACTTGCTTTACAGAAAATATTGCTTTGAACAAGAATGCCTGGGAGCAGTATCCGTATAATGGCCGGCCATGGGGAGCGGATAAAGCAGTGGATGGGCGGTTTTCAGATCGTTCTGCTTCTGGAGGACAATGTACGATATCTGGCAATAAAAAAATAAATGCAACCTGGAGGGTGGATCTAGGACGAGTGCTCGGTATACATCATTTAACTATCTACCTCAGGACGGATAATCTTCCATGGGGTACTGTATTACAAATGTTTTCAAAGGAAATTACTTAACTTTTCTTCACATTCTATTAAAATGTTTAGACATTTCATTGCTTTTTTATATTCATTTTCCTACAAAATAATGGGCCAAATATGACCAGCAAATAGTAATGCAGTCATTAAGCAAAAAATATAGTAAGCAATTCTTTTCAAATACGTTTAAATGAGTTTTTTTTTTTTTTTTTTTTTTTTTTTTTTGTTGATTTGCCCTGACATTTTCCGAATGTCTACATAATAGACAAGGACTTAAGATTTTGATGTTCCCCTAGTTTATCAATTTAAATATTTTATTACATTTTCAGCAATGTAATTCTGTGATTAATTTATTGAATAAAAGTGATATTCTTTCACTGTGTGAAAGGATACCAACGTGATATATTCTGTCACATTGTGAAAGTATAGGAAATAAAGTATTAAAGTATAAAAAAAAAAATAATTTCAAGACTGTCATAAGTAAGAGATAGTAACTAAACCATATTGATAGGAACTAAAATTGCCAATTTCTTCCTAATTATGTTGGGAAAATCCATGTTACAATATTTTAAACCTCACATTTGCTAAGCTATTACGTCTCAACCGCTCAACTATGACGTCACAGCCTATGACACAAAGCAAAGAAAAGACAAGGGGCAAAGGGAAATCAAAGAAAATGTAATAACATCACTTATACGAGCCTGATCTCGGATAAGTGAGTTTATATCAGTAACCCTAGTAATATTTTGGTTCTGGATAATAAACGTGCATTCGGTTATTTATTAACTATTAGTCACAAGCTATCACTCCGGACATATTAAGCCCATTGATATATAATCTAATATAAAGTTGTTCACCATTTCCTTTATCGAAGAATCAATTAAACGGTAAGGTCATATATATTCTAAGGAAGTGATACTGTGGCAATTTTTTTTGATTTTTGAAATTTAATGTTTGATTTCAAGAATAACTGTTGAGGTTTGTTGATTGATTGATTGTGTGTTGATTTACGTCCCGTTCGAGAATTTTTCACTCATACAGAGACGTCACCATATACCGGTGAAGAGCTTCAAATTTAGACATTTACTCGGTACTTAGGGCCATTGAGCAGTGAGTGTTCTTTATCGTGCGAACGCCTACCGTGACACGGGACGTCAGTTTTTAAGGTCTCACCAGAAGGACCCACAACTTTCACTTCAAAGTACCGAGCGATTGGCGAAGAAACAATTGCTGCCTCTTTTTTAATGACTTGGGTCAGTCGCGGTAATGATTGGAACACACGACCTTCCAATCACGGAGCGAGCACTCTACGACAAAGCTACCGTGACGGTATATTGAGGTTGGTAGATGCGAAGCAGCAAACCAAATTAGCCGATGGCGAAGTTTGACATTGGATTTGGCCGGATTATATATTTTTTTAAATCAGATGAAAACTGTTTTTATTTTACGCAGTATTGTAGTTTGCATTACAGGTAAATGGAATAATTTAACAATTGGGGGTCAACGGATTGTTTAATTTGAGTTATTATTTTAGGAGCGAAATGTTAAACTTCAATCCATCATAGCTATAACGGGGGGGGGGGGGGGGATTTGTTGTTAAAACACGGAATTTCAAAGAAGCCTTACATACTCGATGCGAGACAGTTTTGTTTTCCACAAATTTTTATTGTGCTTGGAGAAGGTACATCCACATTTGCCAAAATATACTCGTCTTCAAATCGGATGAAGCATTCACGAAAAATTGGTCACTTTCACTTTTGCAGTAATCAAAGTACTTATCTTTTCCTATATCCGGTAATTAACAAGGACTGTAATTAAAGATTTGCAAAAATTACAAAACTAGGATATGTTGCTGCCGTTCTAAAACTAGATATAAAAGTGCAACTAGCAAGTGATATATATCCTAATCCAGCTACAATTAATTACAGCTATTAAGATTACATTCTGAGGAACAATGTAGTTTGGTTAAGTGATTGCCTTTTGGGAGTGGAGAATATTTCAAATGAACTGGTAGTTTATGAAATAGTTGATCAAAATCAAATTGGTTATCTCGTTTGGATTGATTTAAGTGTATTCAGTCGCACCTCAACACAACTGGAGGAGAGCAACACATATTCTTGTGTTCATTCCATTGTTTCTCATATTGCAGATGAGTTGTTAATTGAAATTAAGGATTTGAATTTGTGCAGTGGAATATAATTGACAATTAATTGACTTGATTGATATTAAATTGATTGATTGATTGATTGAAGATTGACTGAATTTGATTAATAATTGAATTAGTGACGTTCATATTGTTGTGATCTACCCAGTGTATGATCCGCCCGATTTGGGTCGTCACATTTGTTATATTGATTGTTGGTTGTGGGGCAGCCCTGTGGTTGCCCCAGCAAATTAATCACCGCGGCCGGAAGCGCAAAATTAAACATGCACAATATATAACATCTCATTTTTTTGTTTGATTTAGAGTTTGAAATAAACAGAAAATTCAATGTTTTGTTGTTGTATATGGATTTATTTCACTCCTGAGACAGATTTTTTTTTATATTTTCACTCGTGCTTCGTACTTATGAAAATGTCAAAAACCCTGTCCCACTCGTGAAATAAATTCCATATCAACTACAAAATAATGAATATTCTCTATTTCTTTGGAACTAATACTCTGTATTTTGTGTTCAAACCCTGAATATTTGGTCATATGTCATAGGACCATACCCTGAACATTCAACTGAAATAACATTCTTACTTTTTTCTACCTTGTATAAAAAATCATATGTACACTCAAATATGGTGGAAAACCAGAGAGTATTTATATATATCATATTCTATGATGTATTGATTGTGATGATAATTATTGCTATATTCTTAAAATTGATGTTTAAATGGAGTCAGAGAAATTTCGGAAAAAAAAAATAATTTAAAACCATTCTGTAGACCTTCAATATTCCACTGGTGACAGTAAGTGGTTTTTTTTTTTTTTTTATTATTTATTTATTTATTTATTTTATTTTACATCACAGGAACATTGCATGTGTACGTGTAGCTTAAATTTTCTCTGTCGTTATTTATATGTAATATCAAGAAACAGAAGGGATATATACAATCTGATGTATTGTTTGTTTGTTGTTTAATGTCCCTCTCGAGAATTTTTCACTCATATGGAGACGCCACCACTTGCCAGTTGAGGGCTGCAAATTTATATCTATACTCGGCACTCTGGGCCATTGAGCAGTGAGGGATCTTTCTCGTGCCAACACCTACTGCGAAACGGGACCTCTGTTTATACGGTCTCATCCTAGGGACTGGTCTTCATGTCCCGCAATGGATTCGAACCCGCGACGAAATGATCAACTCCACAATCCGCGACTCTAGAGCAGACGCTCTAACTACTGCGCCACGCGGGCGACTATACAGCCTGAAAATCAAATTTTTACATAACATTATACATATTTTATATGGATTCGAGGGCAACATACCAGAATATTTGCCCCCAAGATGACAGGAAAGCCCTGGAGTGTTATGTATCTCGATTCCAAAGGTAAAGGGCTATATAACACTCCAGGGCTTTCCTGTTACCGAGGGGCAAATAATCTGGTATTGTTGCCCGAAAAGTCATGTAATATATAATATATAACATTTTTAAAAACCAAATTCCCACATATTTATTGACGACTATGGACCTGTGAAAATATCTAGAAAAAAAAAAGAAACATGAAAATTGTTTTTAAAAAGCTGATTGGTTGGTACTAATAGTTTCGATTAATGCATCTTCGCTAGCCAAAGGTATCTGATACGCTACTCTCCACATAAACTCTTGGCATACGGTGCTGACAAAAGACGGGATTGTTTTCGTCACGTGATCACGATTCTTACCAGGTTCGCACAGATTGCGTCATCGACAGAAATAAAAAGCGTATTTAAAAACATAATGTTTTTAAAGAATAATTAACAAGAAGGTATTAAGTTATGTTAATTTGTTATTAAACATGTTAAAATGCAAATCTACATCTTCAGTATAGATTCTTAATCACATATTTTGCACGTAGCCTAAGATATTGGATGACACCATATAGCTATTCATAGAATGGCATGTTATCTTACGGATCGTTGTTTACTTGCGTTTTTCATTCCCGATATTAAAGAGTCAAGATATATCCCGAACGCAAATATCGTCATTTACAAAAAACAATTTCAGATTGGTCGAACGATGTCGATCAACTCCAATCACAACTTGAGAAAAAAAATCCCAACTTTTTTTAACACCGTATGCCAAGGGCTTATGAGGAGAGTAGCGTATCAGAAACCCTTGGCTAGCGAAGATGATAAAAATGCTAAGGGACATTAACACTATTGTTGTTAAAATGATAACAGGGGACGGCTGAAAGTTATGAAGGCCGATTTCTCTTCCTTTATAAATTCCGAAAAATTGCGTCTTGTTTCATTGCAGAATGTTTTCAGCACGCTGACACTTGTGTTTATAAGTTTTGTTGCATTTACGGAATTTTTCTCCTCAATCAAACTATCTAGTTTCTCTGAATTTAAATGAAGATAAAAAAACGCAGACGTTGTCCGGATATTTTCATTTTCGCGGAACTGTTTACGTTTGCTTAGCAACTACCTCTGTGATTTTTGAACCCGACTTAATTAATATGCAGAATAATTGCACGTGCGGGAATATAAATGTGTTCGGGAGGGATATAAATATTTCTGGTGTAATATAACTATATCCGGTGTGATTCAGCTGTTTTTCAGGGCATATGGATAAAAATATCATATTTGTGATGTACTGGGAAAACTTCTTCAAAAATGTTATATACAACAATAAACAAGTTGTGCAAGAAGTTGCTTCCTTCGAAATGGCTTTTATATGGGTAAACCCTTTCTGCTAATTATGTTTCCTAAGCGAAGTTTGGGAACGTTTTGTTTTTACTTTACTTTTTTCCCGAAATATCTTCTCTGGTACTTTTTTTGTCCGCCAGTATTCGGAAAGTACACATCTGATTGAGATGAAACCGTTAAAGGCTTAACAGGCAGGTTGTGTAGATATGCGGCACAAATGTCATTGTGTGGGCACATGCATGTAATTGCGTGGTCGTGCAATGGGTGAAATGCCTGATATACTTTATATAGCCATAACTTTTACATTTTTTGATGAAATACTTTGAAACTCAAAACATAAAGATATATTAGTAGCGTATACATGATAACATGGTCAAATAATCATGAACTAACGCGCATGCACATGCGCTTCGATCTGATTGACTGAAACAGAAATCTCAATATCTTCCTTTTTTTTGACAAAATACTTTGAAATTTAAGATATAGATATACATTATATGGTTCGTGTATATGCAGAAATTCCTGAAAACACGAGCATGCAGGTGTTCTGCCATTTGATTGGCTGAAACTTTAAATGACTGTAACTTCCTTATTTTTTCAACAAAACAGAATGAAATTTAGAATATAAATAGGTATAACTGGTTCCTACATTATGCTACTATCAACATTGAATGCAAAGACATGCATGTACATGTGCTGAAATCTGATTCGCTTATGCTTTATAGGTTCTACCTCTCTTATTATTCAATATAATTCTTTGAAATTTAAGAAACTGGCATATGTTGAGGCACTATGAAAATATATATATATGAAATCTAGAAGATTCATGCAAGCACGGGTGCTGAAATTTGATTGGATAAAGTTATTTGTATCTTTATCGTTCTTCATTGTTGAGGATGAAATTCAGAGTTTTTATAATAATACAAGTTCCTACATTATTCAATCTTCAGGAATGTACATGAGGACATGCATGCATGCACACTGATTTCTAATTGCTTAATATATTTATGTTGCTGTAACTTTCTATGTTTTCAGTGAAATTCTTTGAAATTTATATGGAGCTTTTTATTATAGCATTCTTTCAATTTTTTACATGAAATATGTCATTCTTTAAATCATGTGCTTGCACGTGTACTTAAAATCTTATTTGCTTATGCTTACTGTGCTATATTTGCATTGCTATTTCTTCAAAATACCTTGAAAATAAGTGGTTAAATCAATATTACAAAGATTGTGCTTAATTTGTGGAAGCATATAGGGAATGGGGCTCCAAAGTGTGTAGGGGGAACATATGTAACGGTCTCCGTTACAATTAGAACTAGTTAAAATATGTTTTACTTTATCATTCACCTTTTTAATAGCTGTTACTTTTAATTTCTGAAAAAAAAATTGTTACATTCAAACACAAAGATTATAAAGAAAACACTTATTATGTATTCTTCTTAATTGCATAATATTGATCACCAAGCCCATAAAATTCTTTTTATGAACCGGCAAGGTACTATTTTTAACTAAAAAGAAGGAGTTTCGAGTTTTTTATCATTTCTTCGAAATAAAAAAAAAACAAAAAAACATAAGATAGACTTATCTTGCTTCAGCAAAGTGTTCCAAATGAAAGACCAATCACACATGACCATTTCTCATTACATTTAACTAGACTCATCAAATGATCATGCAGCACGGTTCCTTGGATTTTCTGTCTATATATCGAACACGACCAACAAAGATAGAGGATTTTTATGTTATAAGGACATAAACTTCACCAGAGCTACAATACCGAATATCACTACAATAGAATGTTTAAAGCATGGAAGATACGTTATTTATTACAATGAAAGATTCCCAGGAGTTACCTACCCTGTTGGATATTCCAAGTACGCATTCAACGAGCTCTGTGAATTTCAAGTTTACGGTAAGAGAGTACACCAACACACATGAGGAAAATAAACATATCATTCTCTGCTTAACATTAAACTACGTCGTAATCACGTATCTTTCTCGTTAGTCATTTAATTTTGCTTTAATTAAAATTTATTGATTTTAAGAAACTGAGTCTATCCCTCTGCCACTGAATGACATATGTAGAGATAACGAAAAGTATTCGAACTCAAATGTCCATTAACTATCACAAAATAAGAGCAGAGCAAACACAGACCTCTAAGACATCAGAGGTGGGATCAGGTGCCACGGAGGAGTGAGCATCCTCTGCCGACCGGTCACAGCCGCCGTATGCTCCTTGTCATGATCGGGAAAGAAGAATGGCTTTCAAAGTTTTGAAATGGAAAAAAATGATACTGATATGCTGGTCCATTCGTTTCACATATTATCATGTACTGACAGGGTCAGGTGAACGTTGGATTTATTACCTCAGCATGTCTACCTAAAACAATATTAGCTTCTTCATGAACCTTCTCCCTCGAATAGCTTTTGTATTCTTTACAAATGAAACATTTTGTTGAGGTTCTAGTGATTTATTTTTAATTTCTTTCTGTTCCTTATCATCACATGTGGATAAAATGATTTAAATATCAATGTTAAATAGATATTCCATGCAGTTAATTTATGGTATGCGTATAAAACTTCTGAATAACAAAGGGGTGATAAATTTAATATATAAAAAGATAATATAAACAATTTAGAGCTGTCAGTACCCCTGATAATGGAGCTTAAATGGTAGCAAAACTTGACAAAATCATACAAGCTAAGGGAACATATGGCTTTGTCTAATTTTATTTATTTTCGACAGGACAGATCATTTACACTTAATTTTTTTTTTTTTTCAATTTGATTTAAACATGTAGTATTAAACATGTAAATATTTACATTTCATGGGTTTTTCTGTGAATAGAGTTAAAACGTTCTTTTTTTATGAATGAAGGAGTTTGAAAATGTTTTGCAATTTTAGTATAAAGAAATATGAAAATTGGGTAGATTTTACTTAAAGACTTTGACGCATATGCTTTGAGTTACAAAACATTCAGACGCAATAAGGAGTCAATAGTCGTTAATAATCATTACCATTCATTTAGGTTGCCCTACCGCAGGATTTTATGGAGAAAATTGTACATTACCGTGTCCACAGAATTGTCAGGAAAGACATTGTAACATTGTGGATGGGACATGTCTTGGATGCGTTTCCGGATACAAAGGACCACGATGTGAAAAACGTACGGTCACACACACACACACACACACACACACACCCTCACACACACACACACACACACACACACAAACACACATATATATATATATATATATATATATATATATATATATATATATATATATATATATATATAAAGAGAGAGAGAGAGAGAGAGAGAGAGACCATTGTTTTCATCCAAATTTTTAGCACTTTATCTTTATTCCCTTATTAATACGCAATACAAAAGCCCCAGGCAGGTATGACCCAGTCATCGGAGGATCATCGCTTTAGCGTATGATTGTCGTCCTAGTTCTTGTGGTTTCAATGGTTTGTGTTGCCCCGTTCTTACTTTTTTTTTTATTATTAATAGATTCATGAGATTGATGATCTACTTAAATAATGCTAACTTTCTTCTTATGGCAAATAAATAAATTTCCCTCTCAATGAATGAAATAATCATTTGAGAAACCCTTTCACGTTATCAGCAAATTTTTAAGATTTAGATTTAAAATAACAATCTATTGTTGTTTTTCAGAATGTGATAATACTAGATATGGCCTTGAGTGTAGTTTTGCCTGTGGGAACTGTAAAAATGGAGTACAATGTAATCATGTGAACGGAAGTTGTCCAAACGGATGTGACGTCGGAACGCAAGGAGATAAATGTTATCAAGGTCAGTTATTTATTTACTTATTTTTTTTTTTTTTTTTAAATATTTAAATTTAAAACATTAAATCAAAACTGAATAAAAAGTAGTCTTTCTAGATTATTCTGAAATGTTCAATATGTGAGTGCGGGTGCATTTAAAGTTTTAAATTAAAAGTTAATCATTTAAATACCAATAAATAATATCTATGTTGTTAAGGTAATGAAATATGATATTATTCTGAACATATTTTATTGATCAGCAATTTATTGTTAATGTTTTAATCGTTATTCATTAGCTATATTGGATTTCATATATTTTGAATTCTTCAGTCTAAAATGTTGCATTCATGCAATAAAAAAAAAAAAAAATAAATAAATAAAAATTCAGTCTCATCGAATGAATCCACTCAATCATGACCTTTGTGTTATTCCAAAATCAATTGCAATGAATTATGTTGTTATATAATTATTCACTGCCTATTAAACATTTCAGCATGTTAATACAGTTGAACTTTGGTATCTCGAATACATATCTCGAATACCATGGATATGTCGATGTGATTTGGAAGTCCGAACTACTTATTCTTTAAGTATTTTACCATTGATATCTCGATTCTTCAGATATATCCGAGAATATTTTTTTTCTCTGTCCCATCGAGTTCGAAATAACGAGGTTTTACTGTAATGCCAAACATTCTCTTTCATGCTTAGTGAACCTTCCATCATTATTTAATTTGGTTAATCGATTTGATGTGTCTCTAGTTTATTACCTGTAGTGCTGAAAGCCCTTTTTACGTTACTTTTTTTGTATCCATTATGAAAAGACTTAAGAGGGCTCATTTCCATGCGTTAGGTCACCTTTTAATCACATAAATGGAAGCAGAAGCAGTATTTAATAAACCATTGCAATAAGAGGTTGTTTTGCTAGTTATGGAAATACGCAAGAAATATTTAGCAAATTATCGATCCTTGAATAGGTGAGGGAGGGATCTTAACTCTTCTTGCAAATCAGTCACACAGGATCAGGCGTGAACATTTCATAATGTGCCACCGTAGTTGTTACCTGCAACTGTACGGTATCTATATAATAATCACATACTTAATTGACCACTCATAATTTTTTTTTTATTTCATGCTTTTCCCTAGTTAATATAGATATTGTGGATATAATCTAATCCTCTAAGTGATATGTTTAACACCATCAAAAAATAAGAAGAGCATGCACAAATGAGTCTTGAATAATTTTAGATAAAAAAAATAACGAACTGTTTCTGCATTTGAATAATTGATGTTATCTTTGTCAAAAAGTGTATATGACGAACACCATTCCTAAAAGACGTCGTGATGGCAACGCAAATGAAAAATAAACAAACAAACAAAAAAAAAACACCAAATAATACATTCAGCAATAGCACGTTACAAGAAAATTCTTGATAGGGGGGAAGAAATAAATAATGTAAAGTCCTGAATTTCTTTTAGCGATGAAGAACTGTAAAGTACAGCAGCTAGGTTAAGAACGCCTATTGAAAATGCGCCTAGAAATATTCTGAGGAAATGAATACAGTTATTTTTCATATTTGACATTTTCATTAATATAAATCGGGTCTCTGCTTAGTTCGTCTGAAACAACGTCACTTGCATCAGCTGTTTGTCGTGTGACAGGTTTAAATTAGAAGTATATATGGATGGCTACAAAGATCGTAAAAATTCAACAAAATAAGGATATCTTTTCACTACAAAATTGAATCTTTTTTTTTTTTTCTTTAAATCAAATTCCTTAACATGAAAACTGTTGGGATTAACTTCCTCGCTCTCGGGATCTATTGAAAATTTAGCCGTCTTTTTCAAAAAATAAATGAATAAATAATAAATCAGACAAAGACGTAATATGCATTCAAATAACGATAAATTATGGATTAAAGCAACAGTGCACAACCATCTCCTAGCATTTTTTAAAAGATAGGGGATAATAGCTACACTTTATCAAAAACTCAGAATTAATAGTGAAGAAGATATTATTGAACATTTGAGTTATTCGAGGGGCTGTACCTACCAATCTTAAGCATTACGGTACAAGTGTACCTTCCTAGGCTTTATAATTTGTCTCCACTTTAGTAAGGTCATTCTTGTTTCATATTAATGTTCATATTTACAACGTACGATAATAGTTTAATCCGCGCCTCAAGTACATAGAACCTGCGTGTCAAACTTGTCAGTGACGTCATTGCAGTCAGTACAGCGATATCAGGCTGGTTCATTATCATTAAACATTCCACAGTGTTATCATAACAAGATAAGCTGAACATTGTTTTATCTTTATTTTATTTATGAGAAAAGACAGCATTTTAGTGTGTTTGAAATAGAACATCAGCATCCATTCACCAAGATTCATTGGTATTGTTTTAACGTGACTTCATAATTGTTTTCCCGAACCCCTGCATAGGTTGATGTAAATATGGGAATCCTTAACATAGCTGCGTAATTTCTTTCGGGTATAATCATATGCATAAATAAAGTGACTTTCAAATCAAGTGATTTTCTGTTGCTTTCTATTGAACAACACAAAAGACAGGACAATTATTAATTTTCTGTGTTATCCTCTGACAGCTTGTCCCTTCGGTAGACACGGAAGGAATTGTGTTGAATTTTGTAAGCCAAACTGTAAAGGAGGTTGTAACAGATTCACTGGTGTCTGTGAGTTTGGATGTTATCCTGGATGGAAGGGGACCTTCTGTGAGAATGGTATTTTTTTATTCGATCTGTAATTTTCCTTAAGTCTTAAAGGATTCATTTTGAATTGGTCATGGTATGGATTTTATTGATTCTCGCGTGAACAGGTTATTGTCTAAATTGTTTACATTGAAGTGTATTTAACCCCGTTAATCCTACGTATATAAACAGTTGTCTTAAACAATTGGTCTAAAACAAAGTACCAGTTTCAATAATCAGGTAAATGGAATTTCATGCACGATCAGCACAGATTACTTTTTCTTCAATAGAAAAAAAACATTTTGAGAAGCAAAAAAAAAAAAAAAAAAAAAACAGAGCTGACAAACTCTAAATTTCAATTTTGGGAAGGGGAGGGTGCTGGCACCAGACAAAGACAACTTAACTATTTTCAACTTTTTTGAGGACATGCATACATGAAGATTATTTATTTCTAGCCACTAGAGAACAGAATATTCATTTTCAACATTTTGCAAGATTATTTCGAAAATTAGTCTTTGTAGTCTAATATATACATCGTATGTGGAATTACCATTGCCTTAAACGTTTTCTTCATTATTACTTTCGATGATAATGAGAATTTTTAAACATTTGTAAAATAATCATAAAAAAAATGTAAACAAACACACCAAGAGAAAATGAAAATGAAATAAAATTAAGTGTTAACTGTTAACTTTGAATGTTTAAATGCGTTGAACATCTGAAGGATTGAATTAAAATTCATATATTATATACGAGTATATATATATATATATATATATATATATATATATATATATATATATATATATATATATATATATATATATATATATATATATATATATATATATATATAATGCTATTAATATAGTAATATATAAATGCTCACAATTAATAAAAGAAAACTTACTCTGTTACTGTTTGATCATTAGGTCAAGAAAGCAGCAGAGAAAAGAACTTTAAAAGAAAAAAACAACAAAAAGAATATATCCTTGGAAACATTCTTTTAATAATACAGAAAGACCTTTATGGCGGTAGTAATCAAAAAATTTTGTTTTCGTTTTTGATCATTGTTGTAGGTGTACGTTGATTTGTTCCAATCCTTCCCAAGATAATAAACCATAAGGCTATGGTGTACAAAAAAGTATATACACAATTTAGAATATTTTTTTTTAAAAATAGAAACTAGTTGATTCAGAACGTAAAACTTAATAGATAAATAACAAAACTGGAAACCAGTAATAAAGAATGTACATCTATAAAAAGGTAATATATATGGCAACTTTAACTTAAAACAATTTGTTAAGAAATGCTTGCAACACCGTCGTTTTCTTAACTTAAGATAGATTTATCAAAAATAAATAAATTGACGACTTTAGCAAATCAGATACTAAAGTGTACAGACTCCGCCCACTTAATTTACAACTCTTTAAGAAATAAAAGCCAACAGTGTAAGAAACGAACTATCTCGTTTACAAAACGAAATACGAAAGGTACCGTACGCGCAGGTTGTGTAGTACCACGTATTATTATTATTATTATTATTATATTGTGAACATGGTTTCTTTCCAAAATTTTTTTTTTTTTTTGGATGATCATTAAATATGCCAATAAAAATGTATCTTAAAAGCGACATACCGTTGTATAATCCTTGTTCACAGAATGTGATGGTGGTATGTTTGGATTAAACTGTGCCCAGTCATGCGGAGTTTGCCTTGAAAATGAACATTGCCATTATGTAAACGGGACATGCTTGAATGGATGTGATAAAGGTTACCAAGGAATCAACTGTACAAAGGGTAATGAACCGAAGGTTATATATAAAATATTGAGATAGTGATAAAATTAGGCAGCGAAAAACAAATGATCACAGAGGATATGCTTTATTCATAAAAATAAATATCCGTTAGTAAGATAAATGGCCCATTCTTTTTACCAGAATGTCCGAACGGATTTCATGGATACAACTGCCAAGATACATGTAGCGCTGATTGTTTAGTTCCAAAGATTTGCGACGCAATAACGGGACAGTGTAGTGGTATAAAGAATTTCATTATTTATCTTTTTTTCCCTTTTCTTTGAATGATATAAACTTAACTCTATTGTCTAGCAATTTAGTAGCATGTCTACAGTTTAGAAGCAATCCTTGCAGAACGCTTGATTCTACTGAAGAAACTTTTGTACATTATTTTTTCTTCTTTAATCTTGGTAACGCCACCTTATACTGATGAAAGGCTACAAATTCAGACCTATCCTCGGCACACAGGACCATTGAGCAGTGAGGATTCTTCATCGTCTACCGTGACATTGTACCTCGTTTTTTTTTTTAAGATTCATCCGAAATGTTCGCTAATTTCACTTCTATTGCCAGTCGCTTAGCGAAGAAACAGTCACTACCTATGTTTGCGTCTGAGATCTGATGCCGCACGGCACACAATTCGAACTTCCCGCCTCACCACTAGATTACTGTGACCGCTTATTTTATTGACTGATTGATTGATTTTATATTGCGCTTTTTTATTGATTGATTGATTTTATATTGTTTTACGTGCTATTCGAAAATTTTTCACTCATATAGAGACGTACCATATACCGGTGAAGGGCTTTAAATTTAGTCATTTGCTCGGCACTCAGGCCCATTGAGCAGTGAAGGATCTTTATCGTGCAAAAGTCTGCCGTGACACGGTTCCTCGGTTTTTGAGGTCTCATCTGAAGGACCTGCAAACTTCCACTTCAAAGTGCCGAGCGCATGACGAAGGAACAGTTGCTTCTTATATTTTATCGACTTAGGTCAGTCGAGGCCGAGATTCGAACTCACGACCTTCCGATCACGGAGAAAGCGCTCTACCGACTCAGCTACCCTGAGGGTCCTTATTATCATTGAAAGATATTTCAGCTTTAAAATCGCTGTTATCACTGTTCATTATCTTCACCTTTTTATTATCAACAACGGTATTGAAATTACTCCTATTGAAAAGTGTATGCTTATGAACATCCGTTAAAAACATATTAATACTTTCTTAGACTTTTTGTTTGTATGTTGTTTAACGTCCCTCTCGAGAATTTTTCACTCATATGGGGACGCCACCACTTGCCGGTGGAGAGCTACAAATTTTGTCCTGTACTCGGCACTTACGGCCATTGAGCAGTGAGGGATCTTTTTCGTGCCAGCACCTACTGCGACACGGGACCTCGGTTTATACGGTCTCATCCGAAGGACCTGTCTCCACGTCCCACAGTGGGATTCGAACCCGCGACGTAAGGATCAACTCCTTACTCCGCGACTCTAGAGCAGACGCTCTAACCACTGCGCCACTACTTTCTTAGACTTAATAGAAATAATTTTATTTTCTGATTTTTTTTACTCAGATTAATTCTGTTTTAAATATTTTCTTTCCAAAATGTACAGAATATGTATGTCTTCGCTATTGATACATCAATTTAAAGTCAGGGTCTCGGGAAAATAACAGATGTATCTTATATCTTAACTTTTATTTTTCATTCATAGTTTGTTTTATTTGTAGAGTACTAAATACGTATTTAGAGCAAAATTAGATGCAACTCGATAGAGTAATTCTATGGGGAAAATGTGTGTTTGGATCAACTAAAATTATATTGTTTTCGTAATTTGTCGTTCAACATCCATTTTCGCCGTTATCTTGGTTGAGATAGTGGAAAGATTGATTGATTGATTGTATGTTGTTTTACGTCCCATTCGAGAATTTTTCACTCATATAGAGACGTCACCATATACCGGTGAAGGGCTTCAAATTTGACCTTTACTCGGCACTCAGGGCCATTGAGCAGTGAGGGATCTTTATCGTGCCAACGCCTGCCGTGTCACGGGGCCTTGGTTTTTAAGGTCTCATCCGAAGGACCCGCAACTTTCACTTCAAAGTGCCGAGCGCATGGCGAAGGAACAGTTGCTACCCATTTTTTATCGACTTAGGTCAGTCGCGGCCGAGATTCGAACTCACGACCTCCCGATCACGAAGCGAGCGCTCTACCGACTGAGCTACCGTGAACGGTGATAGTGGAAAGAAGATAGTGTACAAACGAACCGCATATGGTGCTAATTATTAGAATATAACGAGGTAGCCGTCCAGGAATGTTTATATCATTTGAAATGTTATTTTTGCCAAAACCTCAAAATTTGGTCTTCATGAAAACAACCTTTCTGAAACTGAAAATTGTCCAGTACATGATAAACTTTTCAGAGAATTTTTAGATTTATTATGTAAAGAAAGATTTTTTTTTTCTTTTTGTAATTACAGTCATATCATCAGATTCTGATATAAAAAGCCAGTGTTATCCAGCTCTTTATGGAGTGGTCTCTACGCTTTGCTTAAGCGTGGCTTTAAATATTTGTTTCGTAATTTGGTGAGTTTTATTTTATATTATCTTCTTTCAAAAGGAACACCAGTAAATAAATTTTGTAAAAAAAAATATTAAATCCAGTCACTTTTATGTGATAGAATTTTTAAATGTGTACATTTTATACTATTTCAATTTTAGGATTTGCAGAAATGGGGCATGCAAAAGGCTGGGTCAAGAAGAAAGAAACACAAAAGAGTTGCCCACAAAACACACCACCCCGGGCATAGAGCTCTATGACAAAGTCGAAGACAACGCACCATACCAGGAATTGGGTCAACTATGTCAACCTTCTCATTATGACAAATTACATTTATTTAGTGTTAAATGACGGATTCTGTGTCTATTCATTGTTTGTTAATATCCCTTTTAGTTGCACTATTTCAATAAGAAAAGATAGAGAAAAAATATAGCATCCTACCTTTGATCCTCATATAATAATCTGATTAACTGTTTGAAGCTTGTTCAATTGTTTAATAATTGAAAAAAATATGTTTATGCAAGGTATCTTTTGAAAGAGAATATGGATATTCTACTAGAAATCTTCATTATTCAAAATTAAGAAATTAAATGCATAAAACTGCAAATGACAAAAGAGATTACGATAAACAAATATAGCATATCTTGTAGCTAGACTTTAGGTGTACGGTTTAATCTACAGATGGAAAAGCGTAGGGCTAGATCTTTTGCGTCGAATTCTACGTCACCAAAAATTTAGAATCAAACTTGGATAACTTCTTAACGGAGATGGACAATTTGTCTGAACCCCCCCCCTCCCCAATGATAGCAATATAATAATAATAATAATAATAATAATAACGTTTCTTGTTACACCATCGTTCAGACTTGTTTGTTATTCTTTTGATACTTTCATTTTTCCGTTTCCACAATTCATGTATTTTACTGACACGATTTATGGGAGTCCATGGTTTTTTGGTACAGCTTAATTTATGTTTAATAGAATATTTTTCCGAAAAAAAATAGCAAAACTTGTTTTTGGATGATAAAGGCCATAGCTTTAATATTTGTTTCAATGACAAAATGTCAGACAAGCATTTAACAATCATTGGGTGCCAAACACCTTAACTGGTAACGGGCGTTATGGCACCTCGCCTATCTAGGGTATTCCATAGCAAAGCGTAACAATATTTATAAATCGACTCCTAGGGTACCCCTTAGCGAGTCAGCTGGGATATCAATGTAATTGCCTCCTAGGGAATTCCTTAGCGAGGCTACTACCTGTTATACCAAACAGGTAAGTCCACTATACCGAGTAAGGCAAATAAACCACCCGTTATACCGAACGGGGTACGAGGTTACTGTTATACCAAACAGATCCGTCACACAAGCTCCTAGTGCACTCCATAGCAAGCTTGTATTGGCTCATAGGGTAGCCTTGGCGAGCCATTACAGGCTCTACCAAGCATGTATAATAGATAACCATACATAAATAATAATATAATGATGAATAATGTCTCTGCTTGTCTTGCATATTCTACCACTCAGAGATGTTTATACATCTCTGACACCCCCCCCCCCCCCCAAAAAAAAAAAAAAAAAAACCTTATGAGGTGATAAAAGCTTTAATGGCAGATTGTAAAGTGTTTGTTATAATTGCATTTCCCACATCCGACATATGCACTCCGTCAAAGCGGTATAGCCCATCCTTGGAAAATTCTATATCAGGGTGATTGATAACTGTACCGTTAACAGATGCGGCCGCTTTACGACCGGCTCGCGTGACTCTTTTCCGTTTCCGTTCGACGGAGCATATGTCATGGCCCCTATCCAATTTCGGCTTGAGAGTATATCAGATCATATTATTTTGCAACTTGGTAGTCTATTCGCGATGACGCATATGTCATGCTCTATTCTGGTACACAATTCCTCGTTCCTAATTGATGTTATATCATTCCCCCCTTGGTGGATTATTAAGTATGCGGGGGAGGACATTTAGCTATTTTTTTCTCAATACAATCGATAAATTCCTCCCATCTCATGCCCCTTTTGCCTATCCAAGTTACCTGTACGCCTAAATTATCCAAACGTAAGTTAGTAGTATTATTTGCAGTTGCCCATCTACATGCCCAGTAAACAATCGAAAATCTAACAATCCAAACAAGGTGCTCTGGAGAGTTAATAAATAATGTGGTAAATACAATTTATTAACACGCTCACATCATATCTATTCTAATATACTTTAGGAATGTGCTTGATTTCCAGCGCCCTAGTAACTGAGTTTTGTCATGCGATACCCCTTTTAAAGCGAGACACGTTGCGCCTCCAATTCTAAAAGAATGCGATTTGTGAGCGGAAATTGGGTGATTAATTGTCAGAAGGTTTTTCTCAAGACTGCGTTAAACTGAAATCTAGTCAGCGGAGATTTATCACTATGCAGGAATAACGATCCCTCAACACTTGGTCT